AAATATAATATAATATTTGTACTTAAAATCTATAAAAAATATAAATTTGACATAAAGTTTGCATATGATTAATTATAAATACTTTAATTAATAAATCTTAAAAAATACATATTAGATAAACTTATATTTTTATTCACTCAACTTCATATAATTTTATACAACACTTATTAAATAAGTAAATAAAAATATAACTTTTATGTGACCTTAACAATACAGGATGTGACCTTACTGGAGCCCGATAATTGGCTCTTTTGTCTTTTTGATTTTTTGCATACCTCACTTGATTCGAGGCACACCTAAATTCAACCATAATTACCCCATTAGGAGGACACAGTTGGAACCCAACGGTATATTCTACTAAGAAAAGCAAAAAGATTTTAATTAAGGACATTACTTTTATGATTGTCCCTTCTCCAACATTTCCTCATGAGATATATACACACCATGATTGGTTTTGACCACTTTTCTCCTCGAGAAGATCCCATCCTTAACTCTTTCCTGTGTCTCTAGCGCATGCGTTTCTGATTTTCTCTTACAAATAACTAAAACCTCAGAGAATGTCTGAAAGATTATTTTCCACAAAAGATTTGCATTGTTTTACATATTTCTTTTGACAAGGGATGGGAATTGGTAACTATAAGGAAGGAAGAAAAGGGTTCAAAGTTTTAATGATGGTAAACTCACTAACATGCCATGATTCAGTTACCTTTGGTGAATCAAAAGTTTTTTTAAAAAAATAGTAATAATGGGATGCAAAAATGGTGTGGGGAACAAAATCAATTTCTAAACAGGAGAACCATCATGAAATTTGACATAGTCTGGACTCTGGACACCAACACCCCAAAATCAAACACATGGATTTTGAAAATTTTTTGAAAGACAGAACCAAAATTAGCTAGCAGCATAAGATTTGATCATAGCTAGACAAATAGGTGGAACCCTTCTATGAAAAAAAGGAAGAAAATAAGAATCTTAACTGCTTTTTCTTTGTTTTTCGAGACAATATCAAGGTTCTTGGGATGAAAATGACATGAAAAAAATGATCATTTTGTCAAGTAAGAAAAATGCCATAATTAAGGAAAATTTTGATACAAACACAAATGAAAATGGTGAAAGAATAACAGAGGCAGTTTAAAGAGGTAACCATAGTTTCAATCACTAAAAGTTGCTTAATGTATGTCCATACCATGTATATAATATCCTCTGTTAGTGCGGTTTGGCATTTGTAAAAGCCAAAAGGTTTGTTCAGATACAGAGATCTCTCCAAAGCTGCATCTTTAGTCCCCTAGACTTCGGAAATTATGAGAGGCAGAGAGCAATGGGTCTACCAAAATCATTAGGACTCCCACTCAGGTCGCATTCAGTGACTCTTTTCTTTTTTAGCAGCAGCAATCCTCAATCCAAAGTTGAATTGCCCGCACTTGCTTGGAATTAACTTGAAACCTTTCAAACCAATTTCCATGAAAAAGCTGCTGCCCATCTCAGCAAAGCCTTTTCTTACGTCGAATACACACTGCAAATTAAATTTACATTTAATCAATTTGCATATTCTGATATTCACTATGCTTTCTGTTAGAAAATAAGAAATAGAAGAAGAATAAAAAAATGGTTCTAAACCGTTATCTCACTTTTCTTAAAGATTTTAAAATCCTTCAAGATACAATAAAACTCAAAATTCTCTTAGAAAATTAGATGTGAAACTCTAACTTGGCATAGGAATTTATATTACCTGAAAGTCACCATTTATAGGGATATATCTCTACAAAAAGATACTATTTCATATAGTTACCTTTTAACTGTCAAAAGTTATGTCTGATTCAGACATGTATTTTTAAATTTTAATTTAATAAAATAAAATAAAAATTTTGACAATAATAAAAATTTAATGATGTTCTGATAGTCAAGCTCCAAGATGTCCATCATTTGACTATATATAAAGGAACAAAATCCAATTTATCTTGAGTTTTATTTTATTTAATTATTTATTAATAAAGAATAAATTTTTGTAAACTCTTTTAAGTTTTCATATTTTTTTGATGTGAAATTTTAAATATTTACAAACTATTCAACACTTTCATTGATACATACATGCAATTATGCATGGTTAAATTAAATGTATATATAATAAATTATTGTTTTTGTTTGCATTCGTATGATAAAAACTTGTGCTAAATAATTAAATTCATTTGCTTTAGTTACTCAAATTTATATGTTATATTCAAATTCATAATTTTTAACTTTAAAAAAAAAATTATGACTAAGCCGTTTGATTTTTCGTGCACACAGCCGCTAGATTTTCCGTGTAAAAGAGTACTTGATAAACTGTTTATTTTTCTCTGCTTGATTTTTTTTTTTTGTTTTTTAATTTTGTTCTTTTTGTTTCTTATGTCAAGTACACGGTGCAAATTATATTCACATTTACTAACTCTATTTTTATTGATAGATACATGCAATCATGTATGGTTAAATTAAATGTATATATAATTAATTATTATTATTATTTTTTACATTCCTACTATATAAGCCTGTGTTAGACTAAATTCATCACCTCTAATTGCCCACTTGACTTGTACATCATACAAATTAAATTCATAATTTTCAACTTCCTTTTTAATAACAACAAGAAATTATGACTAAGCCGCTAGATCTTCTTGTGTAAAAGAGTACTTGATAAAATGTTTTTTTACTTGAATTTTTTTAATTTTTTAATCTTTGTAGACTATAGGCCATAGCTCGATTGTTTTGATCAGGTATTGCGGAATTGCGGATGTTTGAAAACAATAAAATGAATTGAAAATGACATTTCCTCAATCTAAGCCGGTCTTTTCTTTTGATTTTCATTTTTGACTCTCCACAACTCTTCAAACAGAACACAGAAATGCAATTCCCTTTGATTCTACCACTGAATGAATTAAGATCAAAAGGCAAGAAAAATAAAACAAATTGTAAAGATAACCATATATATGGTACAAGATTTTCATATATATTACATATAATTTAGATGTTACTGTTTTGCAATTCGCTTTGCATGAAGTTGTGAATTATACATTTTATAGTTATGGATAAAAACGATCACCACAATATCAGGAGCTGAGTTATAGACTGATGATTTATAACATAGCATGATTTCTCTACATTAATGGCTAAAGGGTTCTGGATTCTGAAAACGGGTGAGTCATGGGTGAGATTCTTGAGAGAAGAATGAGTTAAATTAGTAGCTAGGAAGACATATGGAGACTGGAGGACGGATTTTATGGGATTAAATTAAACATTGCATAGCTCGATCGAGCCATAATCGAGAAGTTCTGCGATCATTTGCTCAATGTGATGCTGATCCTCTTCAAGAAACTTGAATTGCTGGGTGTTTTGATCAATTTCAGTTTTCTTGGCGGCCCAATTGGCCTCCGTTTCCGGCGCCGATAATGGTCTTTTCTTGGGTAAGCGGTTTTCTGTTTTGGTATCTCTAGCGTCAAAGCCATTACCGGTGTTGACAATTGGAGTGGGTGGCTTCTGTGGCTCTTGCGGTGTTGACTTTTGTTTCGTCATTTGAAGTGATGCCATGTAACACCGGTGGAGTTTGGCAGTCAAAGTGGCGGAGAGAAGCTTCGACGAAGATGATTGCGACGCATTGGGGTTGTAAGGGAAGTTGGTCCTTGCTCTGGGGCCGCACATCAGCCTTGCCGCCTCATCGTATGCTCGTGCCGCATCATCCGCCGTTTCGAACGTTCCTAGCCAAATTCTCGTCTTCCTGCAACAGTGGAAAATTTCGTTCACTACTAATCAAAGACATAGTGAAAATTTTTTTGAAAATTTTCTTAAACTTACAACAGAGGGTGTCGAATTTCGGAAACCCAAGAGCCCCAATGCCTTTGACGGACGCCGCGGTATCTCTGTTGTGTCCTAGCCATGTGAGTGAAAAAGGAAATGTTCAGAACGTGTTTGTGGAAATGCCTGAATAGGAGATGAGAAAGTGTTTGTGGAAATGCCTGAACGAGAGAATTTAGCAAAAGATGGTCTGCCGAGTAAAGAAGGGGAGAGGTGGGTATTTGTAGTTGACAGACGTGAGCTCTTTTTTCGGTTTTTCTTGGCATTTCTCTGGAACCCAATTTGAGAAAAACTGGACCCCGCGGAGAGAGGGTTTAGGCCTTCCTTTCTTTATTGTTACCAGTTGTGTGATTGCCGAATTAATACTCTATTATGGTACGACCAAATTCAGTTCACATGCTTTATAATAATCAAAAGTAATTTTAGAGTATCTTTTGTCCGTAGTTCTTACATCGACAAAATTTAGGTCACATTCTCATTCAACTATGTATATATTTAACTTCGAATTATTGTACTAATTTGCAAGTGAAACCATTAAGGAAACTTAGGATTTTTGTTTGTTAGGTTATTTAATAGTGTGCAAAAGTTTTGATGTCATAACAAATTGAGTACTCAAGAATGGTTATGATTTTGAGTAATTCCAACATCGAATGAGGAATCTTGGACCGCAATAATTACCCAAATGATTAATTTCCATCCATAACCAGAAGACAAGATCAGATAAAATTGAATAGAAACAGAAGGGTATGGTGATGACAGGAACAGGTGAAGGGAGGATAGATGATTGTTTGAAGATGGGAAGTGAAGACGGGATTGGCATTAGTGGGGTATTTTTGATGGTATGTTGTGGTGCCTGGTTTGGACAAAATCTTTGCCGAGAAGTCTTGAAACACAAGCATGTGTTTTGATGGGTTTGTCTCATGTTTTCTGTTCACCCACATGCCAAGATATACACTTCCCATGTTCGGAGGAAGACCAAGTTTTATGCATATCCGATGTTTGGAAGGACTAATATTTTATCTTTTATATGATGGGAAAATGTTTGAATCATCTCTCATCTCTTTGCTTTCTGAGCATGCAAATGCATGTGGTTCTAATTTAAAATTTTCAATTTTCATAAAAAAGAGCTTATAATAAATTATCAATTAACACTTTTAAGATGTTAAAAGTAAAGATCAATCTCAAATTTTAGTTGAAAATATCTTTGGTTGTGGTTTAATTTTAGTTGAACGACCAAAAACAGTCGTTGTCGTAACACTCTTTGCAATAGAAAAGTGTTTCCAAAAATGAAAAAAAGAAAAGAAAGAGTCTCAAAGGTGTGTATTAGTGAAATTTAGTAATCATTTTATCTCTAATGCTTTCCGTTAGAGTCGTCACTTACTACATCTTAAATCTTAAAAATTCACCATCTTCTACTTTGTGGCTTGAGTTCTGTAGCTTTTCACAATGTAATATGCATTGTAATTGTTACGCCGGAACTCATGTTCAAGAGTTGAGAATTTGAATCAATTTAATTTTCCAAACTTTTTTTGGGAAGAATTTTCTGAACTTGTGACTCATATATTTTGAAAAAGTTCAAACAGGACAACATAACAACAAATACCATGTAATTTTGGTAAAAATTAAATCTAAAATTAAATTTATTAATAAATAAGTATCATTTTATAAATTATATTTAGTGTTTAAGAATTATAAATTATATTTAAATGTTTAATATATCAAATCGGTGAAAGAGTGGTGCTTTTAAAATTATTTAATAAAAATTAATTTTAAAATATACAAAAATTAACCAAAAAAACCATCATAAAAAAAAAATTGGGTAGAAATTAAAGTTTTGGTTTACAGCTAAGCAATAGACCAAGAAGAAGAGAAAGATCGTGAACTAAGGATTAAGACATATACGGTCCACAAAAAAACGCGTATGTTGGGACCCAAAAACATAACATGGGTGATGAAATATGGAGAAAAAAAATACATATTATGGAGCTGTCCGTGCTTTTGCACACGGAGGTGGGATTGTCTGTCATACACCAAAATGACCCACCAAACAACTTTTTAAGTTGAAATTTATGTGAATTTTGAAAGTGTGAGACTACGGCTGGTAGAGTT